TATTATATAATATATAATATATATAATATATTATATAAATAAAAATATAAATAAAATATACCTACATGTGTGGGTGGGTTTCAAGTCTCATATTTAACGATCCAATACATATAAGAGTATGAAACTAGTGAAACTACAGGTGGAATTTGCATTACGCGTCGGTTTAATTTTGAACAATAGAACGAACAAAGAACGTTCAAGTGTCGGATTATAAAACATTAATAATCCATTGAATAATCGAAAAATTACGATCACACTGTGTGTGATAAAGATCTTTCGCGCGTGGAACGTTATGCGGATTGTGCTTGACGTTTAATCGCGAATTGAAAATCCGGGGATCAAAAATACTCACTTCTATATAACGCCTATTATTCATTGCTTTTTACGGTAAAGAGATCGAGATCAAGTGAAGTGGAATTCAATAGCCGAAATAACGTCGAGAGCGCGCATATGTATGAGTAGGTATACGGACGATAATGCGCGATATATATATATATAAAACGAGAGAAAGAGATAACGCACACACATTTTCCGCTTTATACATAATATTTATCTCTCTGTCTCGCTTTGCGTATAACCGCGTATTTAATTGCGAGCTACACCGCGGAGAGTTCGTTTGTGCACGGTGTGACGTGCGGTCTCTGTGCACAGTCAAGTTTCCGTTATGTCGGCTTTAATTAACTTTCGATTTGTGTATCCGCGCGCAACGCCGCGTCAACCAAAGTATCCCGCCGTTCTATATCACATTCCGATTGACTCTCGGTCAATTTCTGTCATTACATTGTAAGAGAGACGCACTGCGCATCATCGCATCCGGAAATTCGAAACAAACAAAAAACAAATACGATAACGATAATTATATAAAATAAAACTACTACGTCACCGTATCAATTTTTAAAAAACGCCAAATAAAATAACAATATAAGAATAAAATACGATTTTATTGTTGCGTTTGTTTTGTTATTTTCACGCTGCGCTACAATTTTTCTGTTTAACGCGAACAAATTGCGCAACTTCATTCGTGACAACTGCGAGATGACGTTCTTTTTTTTTGTTTTTTTTTGTTTTTAAATAAAATTATTTTCTATTTAAACAAAATTGATTTTGTATACATTTTTAACGAAGCTTGCACAACGGAAATTGTTTGTTTCGAAAGCGGCGGTAAAGAGCGCGAGTCACGGAAATGCCGGGGGAAAACGACGACGCCCACCGCGTCGCAGTTTACATCCGCATCTCGTTAAAATTCATATTGTTTCCTAACTAGGCTTAAACTACTTGCGAAATAAACGGTTCGTTGATGCTGTTGGACACGTGCACAAGCGACCGCGATGCGACAGAGCGAAATACTCACATACGCGCGCGCGTCTCATACATATGCGCGCGCTTCGGCGTTACGAGAAAATTTGTGCAGAGATTACGCGTCGCCGATTTAATTGGCGTGATACAAACGAGACCACTCACGGCCGCAATTACAAAACGAACGACGTCGAGACGGTCCTTTTCTCGAATAACAAAGCGGAACCGCATCGTTCGTTGTCGCAACACACGATGGATATTCGTCAGGATGACATATGAGATTCTTGTTTCGCCCTATTTAGGGCGGGACGAACAAATGGCACATATCGCTCTCGCAACTACATGTGTTTCACGTCGCAAGTATGACGCATCTCTCTGTTACAGGCGGTAAACGATTTGGTCCAGGAACTGGAACAGGCGAATATCACGTGCACCGCCACCATCACGTTCGCCGAGAACGATTACAAGGAACAACTGCGAACTTTGAAGGTAAACTTCTCCTCGCTCGAAACCTCCCGTCAACACACATTTCTTTTTCTTCTTTTCTTTGCAGCTCGACGACGACAGAGATTTGTAACGATCGCGCGCGCAATTTTAGGAAAACCAGGGTTGTGCGCGAGATGGTGATGGTTAGTCCGGCGGTTTCTCGACCGTAATTCGTCTCCTTTGAAATGCAAACTTCGTTTTCGCGAAGCGAACGCGCCGTACAATATCGATTGGCCCCCGATACGGACGAATCGGAATTAAATTTGCACTCGCGCACGGCATTAACGTGTGCGAATTAACCTAATTTTACGTGTATTCGCGCGCGGAAACGGTCGAGACACACTCGCCGGCAATAGCTTGATGACAACTTGAACGCAAATTGTTTGTTGATATTTAATTCAAGCCGAGAGACAGCACGGAGGGTAAAAATTTAATTTAACGCGGAACGAACTGCGAATACAAGTTTTAAGCGTGCAATTGCCCCGCGCGCTCCCTCTCTCTCTCTCTCTCTCTCTCTCTTTCCCTTCATCAGAGTCAATGATTGCAATCAGCGTTAAACGCGGTCGTGCGACATTTTATTGAACTGAAACTTTGACAACCCTTTTGCAATATATATGAAGGACGTACGAATCACTTCTTGTCGCTTTTTTAATTGCAGGACCTGGACACCAGGATTATCATCGGAAGTTTCTCTCCGCAATTGGCGCGTCGTGTTTTCTGCGAGGTAAGTTGCGAGAAAAAAAAACAATTCTAATAAAAGAGAGAGCGGAAGAAAAAAATATACAACTCGCGCGAGTCTGTATAGTTGGAAAATATTTTTTTTCAATTAAACGTGTTTCTTAATCTAAATTAATGAGATCTGTCAGGCGTTAATAAAGACAGAATGTCGCGTCGGTGAAAGTCTAACTAAAGAATGACGTCGTGACCACGTCTTCAAGGGAGGGGTAATTAATGACGCTTTTAGCGTAACCCTCATAACTCGTGTGTGTGTGTGTGTGATTTCAATGAGATCAGATCGACTCTGTTCATTCATCTCCGAACTTACCGTCAATTCGAAGAAATCTATTTAGGTGATTTCCTGCGAGCAGAATTCTCAAAGGTTTTGTCCGAAACACAGTCCGAAGAGCAGCGAAACAGAATAAAGAGCTCGGAGACGGTAACATTCGCAAAAACTTTGCGCTTTGTTGCGCGCCTAACTGACTGCGAAATTCATTTTAAAAGTTCAGCTCTTTCAGATTATATACCTTCGGGAGAACGTTATTGTGCCCAATTATCCTTATTAATTATTATCCTTATTAGCTGCGTTATCTCCATTATCTCCTCTTTTATTAGCATTAGGACGGGGAATGGAGTAAAATGCACTTTTATAAGCACGTTCTCAATGAAATTGCTCAATGAAATTCTTTTATAAACTTCGGTAACTTTCTTTAACGACAAAATTGTCGAATTTCCGAAGCAGAAGAGAAGCGAGTGTAGTTCGAAGTGTTCAACGAATTTAAAGTGCTCGAAAATATTTTCGAATGAGACGACAAGCATGAAAACAACGCGATGAATTTTTGAACAAAAAAATAGCCAACATTTATCATATGTAGCGATATCTGCTCGGCTATAAGAATTCATTCCCCGTGCTCTCATTTTCGTCGACATGCAGTATATCAACAGTTTCCTTCGAACTTCGCAAGAGAGAGAGAAAGAGAGAGAGAGAGAGAGAGAGAGAGAGAGAGAAGCTCAACAATACCTGCATCATTTCTTGGATTTTACGAGCGCTCGGACATGGAAGCAGTTTGACGATGGTTTTTTTTCGCAAGCGCCTACAAAATTAGAGTGAAAAAACCGGAACGCTTCAATGCTCCATTTGGACGGCGCGGCGTCATGAAATTTTCAACGGAGCTCTATCACGCGCGCGCGCACCCGTAAAACAAAAACCATGAAACAATTTTCTATTTTTCGCACACGCGTGACACGTCCGGTTGTAACGCATATACGTGTGTTGTGCAGCAGAATTTTGGTTTTTCTTCTATTTTTCTTTCGCGCGAATAAAACAGCTCTAGCGCGTATCAAGTGTATCTATTTAAAAGAAATAAAACAGATGCTCGGACATCGGAGGTGTAGCAAATATGTGCTTGCGCACACACACACACATACACGCGCGCGCGATACGCCAAAGTGGAACGCCAGAGTTTACCCTCTCCTTCTCCTCCGCTGGTTTTTGTAATTTGAGACCGAATGGTTTGCAGGGGCTTTCGGAGTCTTGTTTGTCGTGCGAGTTTCGAAGTGTGCACTCGGTCGCATAGTGATGAGCATGCAGATTAGGAAGCGGAATATACGTAAGCAAACAAACGGATTGATGTTATCAATCGGGGGAATGGAAACTCTATCGTGGTGTTGCAGGTCGCGCTCGCGCTACTTAACTCACATCACTCGCGAAGAAAAACCTCACCGCGAGCGAATCAATGATAACGCCGGCTTTTACGTGAGAAACTTCGCCGAAGTAATCGTTATTAAATTGCGAAAAGTGCGCAAATGCCGTGTAAGCACGAAATACGGAACGTTAAGAGATTGTCTTAACTTTCAAACGGGAGAGGGAGAGCAAATAAGAATTTCGTAAAGTTGCTATCACTCTACTTAGGCGAACATTAAGAAAATGGTGAAAGTTTCATAAACGAGTAGCGCTTCTCTTTTGTTCTCTTGTTATTGTGTTCGTACGTAATAACTGTTTTCTCCTCTTGGGACTCTTTATAACTGCAATTTCTTGCTCGCGCAATATACAACTCGGTTGGCGCAGTTGTACAATTTATCACTGATACGTATGACGAATCTTATCGATTTAGTTAAATAGAAAAAAAAAAATAGCTAAAGAGAGCCGTTAAACCTCAAAAGTCAAGTGGAAAATGCCTGAGAATAGAAAAATAATGTTTAACAATAAAAATAATACAAAATAATTACAACAATTTTAACTGCTCGTGAAAATTCCAAACTAAGAATTAGAGTCGATAGATTCTGCCGAATGTCCGTGTAAAAATAAATATATTTTCTAAATTTTCTTAAACGTGTAAATTAATCACGTAACACACATCGGAATTTGAATTAAAATTTAATTCGAATTTAAATTTAATTTAATTCGAATTAAAATTTAATTTAATTCGAAAATTCACATAAGATGCTTAGTTTGCATCACGAATATGTGAAATACGCAATTTCACATATTTCCTCCTCCCTTCTATAAAATATATTTATACTTGCGCTCACATCCACCATATATAGGCTCATAGTTTGACTCTAATTCTTAGTTTGAAATAACGCAAAATATTGAAAAAAAATATAAATTAATTATTACATATTGTGTTGCATTCAATTGCGCAATAAATTACACTGGACAGTTGGATATCGTTGTTTGTTTCACTTTGTTCATGGGTGACCATTTCAATATGTTTTCATTATACCTTCTTAATTGCCACTTTGTGGCGCTAATTGAAACACAAAAGGGGAGAGGGAAGAGGAAAAGGGAAACGCTAAATTTCGCCGTAAAATATCTATCTTTGAGAGGGTCTAGCGGACTGTATCATTTTTGCTATTAAATTTCCGGTTATCTAATTTCTCTGCGTGCACATCACACGGCAAGCATCGAGTTGAAATTGCAGTCGGTTCGTTCGCAACTCCCGGAATATACGTGCTGCTTGCACAACCTGCCACAAATTACCAAAGTTGCAATAAGTTTCTCCGCGTTCTCTCCCTTTTCACTTTTACGTCCGACCTCCTCTCTCTCTCTTTCTCTTGCTCTTTTTTCCTTCGCCCACGTTTACTTTGCGTGCGATGCTTTAAATCGTGCTGTTTAGTGTTCCAGGATTTTACGGTTCATTTTCCAGGATCATCCACGATGTTTTCACAGCTGCGTTCCTGCGCTAGATTAACTCGTATATCTAGAGATATTCAAAACTCGTCCCTCTCCCCTCATATAGCAATAACACTCGTATGCTCGTTTATTGCACACTATGTTATATTTTTACGCAGATTTATTATGGCATTATATTATGTAGAATCCATTGGTGGATTCGCAACACTCACAATTTACAAAATTATTTGCAAAGTTACAAATAAATTCAAGAAATAGAATTGTACAGCCATACGCTCGATGTATGTGTACAATATATATATATATATATATATATATCTTTAATGCGCCTAAATTAATACATATGGAAAATTCGAATTGAATAACAATTCTGAAATTCGGTGTCTTTTTCGCATTTTCAACGGTGTTTCGCATTGAGATTTTTTACACTTTATTGGAGGGTTAAATGGGTGATTTATAAATATGTAATGCAAAGCAGCATCCTACATGAATTTTAGAATTGTCATTCCGAAAGTTTTTTGTTCATAAAATTATCTCAACCAATTTTCTAATAACCGCGTAATTTCATTCTGTGCATTTAACGCGTACGTAATTATTCTGCTCTTTTCTCTCTGCTCGTGCTCTCGTTGTAAGTCGCGTTGACCCTCGTTCTCATTTAGCAGATATCGTGTACTGCGCCACATAGTCGAAGGACAGCCCCATTGTATTACAATGCGATCGTGTGTGCCAACGTCAGCGTCCAGCATGTACATTTGCATTGAAGTATATCGGTTTGCCTTACAAGTTAACTCGAGCCAGCACGTAACGTACATGACATCTTACATATGAAACACGTGACACCTTAAATGTCCATGTACCTATTTCTCTTCACCCGTCACGATCACTCCCACGCAAAATTTCAGCGTCAAACACAAGGGTAGTTTCAGACGATATATAATCTTTGATGTGAGAGATAAATATTTTCTTTTACTTATATCTTGCGTGAACGAAAAACGCGTGCGTTCAAATCAGAAATTACGAAACGTTTGACGTTAACGTTAGATTACAGGATATTTTTCCGCTCGCGTGTGATAAATTGACGCGTCGCATCTGTTTTCCTGCAAATGGAAAGTTTTCTTGGGGAGAAACGCGATCCTGACATCGCTCTCTCGCTCTTATCGGTCAATTACATAAACGACGCGCGATAACGAATTTCCGGGTGCGCGCATTTCGGGACGGACCGACTTGATCTTGAACGATGTCACATAACGGCGCGCGCGATTCAATAACGCGATTGTCAGCGTTTGCGAATTTGATCAATTCCGCGCGACGCTTCCCTCTAAACGACTCGTTCGGGTCGTCGTTACGTTTTCGCGACATTTATTAATATTCCGCGCCGGATCACGCGCTCGCGCCGTTTTTTTTATTCCGGTTACACGGAATATAGGCATTGTTCTTGTTACCGTGAAGCGTCTGTGCAAGCGTCGGCACAATAGTATCGCGAAATGAGAAGCAGATATGTACGGACACACAACGAAGCGAAATATCAATATTTCGTATGGAAGATGATAGATAGATAACATCTTTTTATTTATATAAGCTATAGCAAAAAGATCATATTGTGCGCTTTTATAACTCGCGTTATTTATGATACAATCATTGTGCGCCACCGATCGATATATTAGATGCGAATTTTTGCAGAGAAAGAACTAATATTTTCCTCTCGTGCTCTCTTCCCTCCTTTCTCTCTCTCTTTTGTATTTCTTTGCAGTGACTGTAAGATAACAAAAAAATATATGGCTTTTTTCCTCGCGCGCAATTTTCTAGTTCTACTCCCTTTTGTTTTGTTTTTACTCCGTATCGATATTTTGGTGATGACGCGTACGTAACGAGCGCTCGATTTTCGCGGGTGAACAAATCTTCCTCTATCAATCACCGTAGAAATGGACTAAGCCGAGAAACGACATACGTTGAATTGCGGCCCGCCGCAAATCTATTATTCTATATATTGAACGACAAGTTTTCTCGGAAAATTAACGGATACAACACTAAAAATTAAACAAGCTCGCGAGAAGATGAAACAGAACATTGAGACGAAACACAAAATATATGTGTTTTTTATTGAATATAAAACCTATACAGAAGTTTCGATTTTTTTATTTGATTTAGTATATACAAAACATCTAAAAAATAACCAATAAATAAATAATGTCTTACCAATGATAATTGAAGTAGCAATTAGTAGGTTGATCACAGTGCAAAACGTAACTCCGTCCCAGTAAAACACCAGAGACAACCGAATCCACACCACAAGTTTGCAATATGTACCAAACAATCTTCACACAGAGCCAACATACAAATACCCCGGACGGTACAAGGTGAAATGACAAGTTGCGCAAATTATGCAAGACAAACACAAGGAAGTTTCCCAGTGCGACAATAATTATTTAACCCTTCAGTGCCAGACATAAAAAAATGATCTACGAGTTGTCTAGACCGAGTCTGTGAGATCCATGCGACTTTAAGTTTGAATAGTTTCGCAAAAAGCAATATTTTTCAATTTCTTTTTTTTTAATCAAATGTTGAACAATTCTGCGTCGACCAAAAGAAACAGATTGAAAAAATCTCCAGTAGTTTTAAAGATACAAGCGTTTAAAGAAGATCCTAATCATTTTTTTTGACAAAAAGCTTTTGTTTAAAAATTCATAACTTTTTGTATAATTACAATTTTTACAAAATTCCAACGCAGTTTTGTTGTAATTTGCACGGACTTGTTTGTACTTTCAGGAACAAAAGTGTCTTCTAAAAATTGGAAACTTAAAAACATTTCACAATGGGTTTCTTTTGAGACGTTTTTTAAAGAATGCACTTTTCTAGCGTTCAATTTTGATATGCAATATTTTGGAAAAACAACACGTGACATTACTTTTATCACGTGTCTTTAAAAACGTGACTAAAGTAAGGTCACGTGACAGGGAGAGAAAAACATCACGTGACTTTACTGTAGTCGCATGTTTTTAAAAAACGTAACTTTGATTTTTTCTACCAAAGAGAAATGTGATCTTCGGTTTCTCAGTGTTTCGGACGTAATAATGATAGAAGTTTCTTGCATTTTAATACGGAGCATCTCGAGAAACTTTTTCTCTCGGGAAATGATCCTTTAATAAAAATAAAGGAACTATAAAATAAAATAACTTCTGGCGCTTAAAATTTTTGTACCTTGCCAATGAACATCACATTCCGTATTAATTCTATATTCAATGACTGGTTTTGTGTGTGCCGTCTGTTTTCTGATTTTGTGTACAACAGTAAATGAAAAAGATTCAAATAAAAGAATCGACATACACGTCCGTATTGGTTTTATATTCACCGGAACACCTTGTGTTTTGGCTCGCGTTTTGCTTTAATATTCCGTTTCGGATAAAATACTGTAACGAGACATCGAAACCGCATCGAACGAATCGTTCGCTTCGAATAAGCAAATACTGCACGTGCCCGCAATAGTCAATAATTGATGCAGTTAAAACCGATTGTCTTCGATCAATTAGTTGAAACGTGCAAAGCTTCATCGCGACAAAAATAACGGAAACGTCCGAAGATAGAAACTCCGTTAGTTTTTTTTTTTGTATTTTTTTTTATTTTCACGATTACACGCGTTGTGTTATCCTTTTCCGTGTTGCGTTCACGCGCACGTGTGTTAACATTGTATATCGGAAAGTCGTAGTTTACTTAAAGCGGAAGCGTGCAACCATCTTCTTTCTCTGGTCTCGGCGCCGGGCTACAAATAATCCCTCGCCATTAAGTGCGCCAGCGTGGCCTTTTGCGCACCGAGTAACAACTTTTTATTACCACTTTTAGTGCACTAGCTGTTACGCCTGTAAAGAAACGCGCGGCAACCTGATTTACGAGAATGCACTCGATTCACTCTAGGTTTCCTTTTAGATTCTCTCTAAGAACTGATACGTTTCCTCACTCTTGACTTCGTCGAGTTCTCATTTCGAGTAACGGTTATCTAACCCCGTACGGAAGGTATGTACGGGGAAGATCCCGAAAAGTTTCGCAGAGAGACATCCAATGATACAAGGGCGCGTCTTTTTTCCGACAATTTCTGTTTATTGTTTTATAAAATATGATTTTTTTTCCTACTTTTATCGCAAAATAAATTATTATATTTCTTACATATGCGTGTTTTTTATACGGAGCAAACATATTTCATCGCGATCATAGATTATCGCGTGTGTCTCTCGTAAGAAAATAAATCGATTGCACGAGTGGAACAATCGCCGGGAGAAAAAGACGTCGACCGAATTGCCAGATCCGAGTATATTTCGTAAAAACGATCTATCTACTTCACCCTCGCTAACTTGACCGGCAAATCGAGGAGGCGATATAAAACGCCCTAGGCAGATGTTACAATGCTCAAAGTGCAGGTCCGGCAAAGCTGCCAACCGTTAAAGCTGCGACTGAACCGAAAGAGAATTCTAGAGCGGAAGACGCGAGCGAGAGTAGAGAACGTTCCGGAAGGTAAAGGGGCACGGAAAGACGAAGGAGACACATGACGGGACATAATTTACAAAGACAACCCGGAGGGTACGCGCGAACAACCCTCTTCTCGACGTCATTTCTCATTACACCGGAACATTCAGCCTCGTTACGCGATCGTCATAAATATTTCCCGCCGGAATCGCCGTTGACCTTTCCCGGAACGGAAAATGTCGCTAAGATTTTCCGAATCTGGTCGTCCGAGATAATTACAACTTAATTCTGTTAGTAACTGTCTCACGATAAATCGAAGCGATGCGAAAAATGAAGCGATCGATAAGTGAAACGATGCGTTTGCGTATCTCGTCGGCGTCGTTTTGAACCTAGTCACGAATAGAAGCGAATGCGATCGATCGCGATAACGTCGCGCTATCGGCGCGGCATTGTGAGCTCGTGTCTATTGTTCGACCGCGATGAACCGCAGCAACATGTTCTTTTAGACTGTAATGTTTAACATTTTTGCTAAAAGCGAAGTATTGATTCCGCACCAGAATTTCAATGCTCATTATACTAAATAGTGATTTCAACATTCGCAGCATTTTCGTATTTCCAGTTTAGTTGATTAAATAAAAAAAATTGACTTTTATAAAAGAGATTTATAAATTTGATTTTTTATCAATAAAAAAATTTAATAAAGATTGAGAATATTATCTACGCAATAAAATTTTAATTACTTCAATATTATCTATTATTATATTTATTTTCTTTCTATGGTCAGGTTTTATTTATTTTTTTTTTATTCTTTTTTATTGATAAACAATCTGCGCTCCGAATAAGAGAAAACGAAAAACGTTTATCTCTCTGGGACGTGTGTCGGTCCCACAACAATACACTCGTGAGAATTCTTAGTTACGTTATGTAAGAATATATTCGAATCTAAAGTATAAATTTCAGTTCTTACAAAAAATTTTTATAAATCTTAGACATTCAAACAGTTTACTAGCTATAGTCTCATTTATTTTAGATCTATAATTTTTGTTATTTCTGTTTTTATTTACGTTTATGTTGTTGCACTTAATATTTTTACTATTATTATTCTACTATTGAGAGTTCTACGCGTATTAGTCAGCGATACAAAGTGTGTATTCGAGCGCGTTATCTTTGCGAACGTTTTCTCTTGCCGACGGATGCGGACTTTCTCCTCTGCTTTCCAGTATCGTTCGCTCGTTACCCGTTTTCACATTCAAACCTGTAATTCTTTTATTGATAAACAATCAGCATTCCGAGTAAAAGGAAACGAAAAACGTTTATCTCTGGGACGCGTCGGTCCCACAACAATACACAATCTCTCGCATTGCAAGAATTCTTGGTTACGTTATGGCCTAGTTTGCATTTTTGTGGTAAGTGAATCAAATAAAATGTAATTTTTTCAATGTGAAAAATTCTGATGTTTACACTGTTAGAAATGTGTTTGATACACGTACCATTTTTATATGATACGCGTATATTAAGCGATCGGTGTAAACTAGGTCCATGTTGAAGCGCATGTGAGAGAGAATCTCGAATATAAATTCAGTCTGAAATTTTAAAACAACAAAAAGTTATATACCGTTCGAGAGATAAGCCCTTCTCTTGCGAAATATGTTATTTTTCGTTGTAGGCCTGGAAGCTCGGAATGCACGGCGGTGATTACGCGTGGATTTTGCCGGGTGACACCGACCCGTTGGAGATGATAAGCGACCGGCATGCCGACATCGAAGAATGCTCGTCTTCTCAGCTGACGCAGACTCTGGATGGCTTAATCATTGTCAAGAGCCACGACTCGGTCGTCGGGAACGTGATGAGTGACACGGGTTTGGTACGTTCTCTTTCTTTCTTTTTCTCGAAATTCACCATAAGCGAAGTAAATCTCCTTCAATCTGCTACGGGTAAACGAATAAAAGATTAAGGAAAAACGAGGTAAATGACTCGATCACTCGAGAAAATTTAATGTCTTCGTGTTAAATTGATTTTTCATCGAATCCTTTTTTTTTTTTTTAATTACTCATGTACGCATGATACCACATTATTTTAGATAAATTTCACACAGAGTGACAATTAGGATTTATTTGAAAGTAAATGATTATTACTTCGTAACGAGTAGACCGAGAACGAGATGAATAAAACGCTATTTTGTAAAATAAAAAATCTTGTCAAATTTTATTATCATAAGTAATGAAATATATATTTTAATAATTTAAATATTACATTATTAAAAAAAGAGACAAACATTTGCTTGCGCGTTACTAATGGTATGTGTTTTCAAAATGTTGTTCATCGGAATTTGCAGCCGCGTTTTCAAAAACTTTGAAAAATATTATTCAACATAAATAATATTTTTTTACATTCAATTCTGTGCAAATTCCGATGGACGACATTTTGAAAATATATATACCTTTAATTACATTTGCGCAAGCAAATTTTTGTTTCTCTTTTTAATAACGTGTATTTGAATTTATTAAAATATTATATAATTGTCTCATAATTACGGCAATAAAATTTGACAAGTTCCGCTCGACAAAAAATGGTGTTTTATTTATTTCGTTTGGTCAATTTGTTACACAAAGTAATAACCACTTACTTTCAACTAAATCCTAAATTGTCACCTTGTGTAAAACACTAGACAAAAATTATAATATAATCTCTAGAATTCTTGTAACTAAGTACTTTAATTCTAGTAATCGGTCCGACCCGCTGAGCGCCGTGACCCCGTTCTCCCCCTACGTCAATCCCACAACTATAAACGCATGTGTAATCAAGTTCGAACGACATACGTACGTAAAATCCTCGAATTTTCTGCTTTCCTCGATCTCTGCGTATTTCACGACCAATTTCGAGAGTCTATTTCCGCAGCATCTTACATTTATACCAGTTATAAAATGTGTACGAAGCTTCTATCGTGTAATATGTCTTCAATTAAAAAAAATATACGTGAGGGGAAAAATATCGTTCTTGCCATTACTGCTAACGACAGCGATAATTGCGTTCTATAAACGGAGCGAAGATGCGGAAGCTTAGTCGCGGAGCCGTTAGCAATAATAACCCCTGGTTGCTCTCTTCTTCTCTCGCTGCTTCTGGCAACGTAGCGCGTAATAAATGAAGTCCCGCGCGAGGAAATTGGAGTACGCAGGCGAAGAAAGCCGAAGGTCTCGTCCCCGCGCTCTATACAAGAGAACCCGCCTCTATTCCTTTCCATTCTGTTCCATTAAAGATCCGTATAGTAAACGTCAAAGTGGAAAAGAGAGAAGAGCGCGCGAGGAGAGGACGTGGGCGATTGCGCGCGCCTCCTTTCACACGTTAGATCTTACGGATGGGTAATCAGTCTAATGACGACGAGCCTGTCCATAATCGACACTCGTGTCAAAGTCTCGCCGTCGATTTTTGAGCACTCTCGAAAATAACAAGTCACGGGAATAGAACGCCCACGCTATGGACTTTCTTGCTGCTGCTGCTGCTGCTGCTGCTGTCGCGTGTGAATTGTGCACGTCGCGCTCTTTTCACGTTATATTCGACCGACGTTTTCTGCCGAACGCGTTTCCAATATAGAACTGTCCCTAGCTACGTGTCGTGAGACACATTTCTTCCAACGGTATGGTCATGAATAATTTCACGTTATCGCCCGTGTAATTTCACGTCTCCACGACAAAAATAACACGGCGTTTGACGAGAAGGTTTCTGACTGTGTCGATATTGACAGTCAGAACCTTTTGACCGGCTAAATTCATATAGAAGATATTAATAGAACAAGACGATCCGATGATTTCGTTGATTATACGCCACGTTGAAACGTTTGCGCGTCGCAATAAAAATATCAATTAAGTATTGGGATCGATACGAGCCAATATCGTCGGACGTACGTGCAAAATTACATGTATATTTATTTACTTCTTTTGAATCACAAAATGCGGGAAATCCGAGTTTGACTCCTGGCCAAAGTGTCTTTTTCGCAACAGATTTTTTAATTTTTGTGGTGATAAATCGGGTATTTCACACATATAAGATGCAAGTTAGTGAATTTTTGAATTAAATTTAATTCACCAATTTCCACGTGTATTAATCTACACGTTTACAGAACGCAAATAATTATATATCGCATGTAATTGCACGCACATCCGACATATTGGTACTCGTATCGATCTTAATACTTACTGTTGGTTGTACATTGATATATTAACGAGTTTCTGAATTAAAAATCTCAATACTCGCGAAAGTCGTATTGTAATAATACGAAGACCGGAAACGGACAACACACACATGTGTGAAATACGACGAGTTTAACGTTCTTTCGAAAGTATAATCGCGCAACTTTACGGCGCACACGAGATAAGTACGGGATACAACGTTCCGAAAAGTTAAGCCGCTGGAAGAGTATTTCAAGTATGCTCGACAAAGGGAAAGGCCGACATCACTATTTTCCTCTTCGGTGCGCAATCCTCAAAGTTCCGATCCAGAACATCAAATTATAAATTCAAGTGTACGTCACACGATGCTTGAGCGAGGTATCACAGAAAGCGCGACCGTACTTTTCAACTAACTTGTTGGAAAAAGGGACGCTCATTACGCGCTAATCTATTACGAACTATTTGCAGTCACTTGCTATGATTTATCGCATTTTCAAGAAAAATGTTCCACACGCTAATTTAATTCTAACGAATAGCAAACTGCATCATTGTAGTGCGGCTTGAAGTGCGCTGTTTATCGATGTTATCTTAAATAAAAACATCGTCAAACGATAGAATATTTTCTCTGCTTTTTCTTTCGCGAATATTATCGCACAGCTCTCTCTTTCACAACAAGTAAAAATGTTAAATTAATATGAAATCAAATTTTTTTTCTTCACGCTCAACGCGTATCTCGTTTTTTTTCTCTGTCTCTCTCTCTCTCTCTCTCTCTCTCTCTCTCTCTCTCTCTTTCTCTCGAGTGAACGAGGGAGAACACATACGCGCTTCCTCGTTGATGCAAACGACAAATTAAATTTACGCTCGTTCGTCAATTCGAGCTCATCCGCGTTCTCTCTGTCTCTCTCTCTCTCCCCTCAATTTTTTTAATTAATTTGAACGGGATTTGCGAGTGTTTCGCGAACTGTGTCCGTTCACTTCATATAACGTGTGTCGCACACGTTGTTCATTTTGCAGTCCAGCGAGAAATTCAGGACGGAACTGGCTAATAGAGGCGTCGCGCACTCGAAATTCGCGGGGCAAACATACGACGCCGTGTGGGCGATGGCGTTCGCCCTCGCCAGAACCGAGGTCTTCCTGAATCGGCAGAACGAGAGCATGGCGAACTACAAGCACACGAGACGGGACTTCACCTATCGTCTGTTGGAGCAGCTTAAGCTGCTGCACTTTGTCGGAGTTTCGGTAAGGAGAAGTTTCGGCGCACAGCCGAAGGATAAATAAAAGCGCTCGCCTCTCCCCGAGAGAACGACCGTTTATTACATACGTTCGCAAAACCCAGTGAGGGAAGCTCCACGCCACGCGGAGGAAAAGTACTGAGATTGACCCGCACTAAATCCGCACATACAAGACATTTACTAGGGTAGCTACCTGCATCCCCGTGTTGTTCACGGAGAGATTCTCTTTGGCGTCAACTCTCGGAGAGTATTATTTCCTTTAACAGAGGAGAAACGTCGAGCACAGTTTTTTAAAAGTTGGAGTGACGACCGAGGAGAGAAATGAAACTTTAGACAAATTTTCTTTAAAGTTAGCGCAACGTTATAACTTTCTCTTTTCTTTGATGTGATAAAGTTTCGCCAAAGTAAGATCCCGTAATTCTCGCGCGCGCAAAATCGATACCTACGACGATATCGTTAATTTACGAACGGTGAATAATTGGCCTCACGTTCCAGTTACGAAACTCTAATTGCTTTTTTATATTTTATGACGTTACCTCGTGTACCCTACCTTCACGTGTCGTTCTTTCGCGTCTCTTTGTCATTTCATACATTTGTTGTTTCACACGTTCGCTCTCTCGTTATGTTCGCAGGGACCGGTTTCTTTCGACGATGCCGATCGCGTTGGAATCACGGCGTTTTACCAGATGCACGGTAAGTTCGATTGAATCACGCTACAAGTGGATATCGCTGCGAAATATTTGCAATTAATGTTGCAATTATGTGTAAAACGTTTTTTCTTACAACACATTCGCGAGACATTATTCGAACATCGCCAAGTTTTGCTATTTTTTCAATGGATATAAATATACAAAATGTCGCTTTATCACACCACGCTATATATGTTTGTTAAAACAAACAAAACTAAATTTTAAAATGACGTAGAACCACGTTGCCGGTGTTAATTGCATTGTGTGCTCTCATATCCAAAGACAACAAAAAGTGTGTCGAGAAAACTTTTGTCTTAATTCCCGGGGAAATTTCTCTCCAACGAAACTTTTCCCGAGTTTTAGAGGAGGAATGTCTAAATTTAACGATTCAATTGGCGCAAACTGGAAGGAATCAGGCAAACTCTGGTCGGTTCGACGAGAGTTTGCCGCGATAAACGCGCTATTTGTTGAACCGAGCAAGATTCACTGACGAATCACCGAGCGCTGGACCGCGCTCTCTGGACTTTGCGCTTCATTCGTTCGGCCCTAATGTCAACAACGACGTTAAATGCGCACAATGGCTTCCGCTAGAACGATAGAACGATATAACCGCCGGATTGAAAGCGCTCGACAATAGCCCGCGTTCTAACGACGCGGAATATCGCGTGTTCCCTTGTCAGGGGATAATCGGCGCGTGGACGCGCGTATAATCCAATTTATGAGTTTTCTATTATGAGGTGTGTATATATATATATATATATATATATATATATATATACATATATATGTGTGTACACGTCGCCTCTAGTATCCCGCTAATGCGTTTTGTTTACGAGCATTCCCGCTTTAGAACCCCAATATTCTCGATATTTCTCTGTACTCGCGCGGTTTCGCGATATCTACGCGCTCGCGCGCGCGCAATACACAGCACAACAGCTCTCTTTCAAATAGAAAACCCAATCCTCCTTCTTTTAGACGTCGCTTTGCATGTTACGCGATCGCTGTGAATCTCGAAACGAGAATATTCGTTTCCTTCGCTTTGATATGGAGAATCTTCCCCCCACCCCCCTCCCCCTCAAAAAAAGAAAAAAAAGATCAATCTCTCGCCGTTATCGATGCCTCGCAAATTGCTTCGATCTCTCGAACATTTTTGTAAGTGCTGATACGTATCTGGCGAAGCGTGTCATGCATTTAAATGAATTGCCGCCAGCGGCAATTATATTCCTTTTTCAGAATTCGCACACACACACGTCGGATAACGCAAATTTTAACGGCAAATAAATCAGTTGTGTTCTGTCTTCTGAAAATTGAAAATTACACACACGTTTGTTCATTTCCCGTTCCCGTCACGTTGTTAGACATTAATAAATATTTTAAATCAACACATAAATAACATTAATGCGCTCGAGGCGGTCGTTAAAACTGCGAAGTCGACAAAACAAAAATAACACACACGCACCACCCGACGTCTGTCGTAGCCGCAAATGCTGACGCGCGTATCTAATTTTTGATAGTCGCCGCGCGCGCGTTGTTCCCTCGTCGCGTTTTAAAAATAATCATACACACGGAGCGAGACGCGGATGCAACGCGACGGTATTAAATTAAAAATTAGTCTTTATCGTTATAACGCTAGATTAACGTTGCGTCGCCGCGCGCGGTCACGAGGTATATATGTATGTATGCATGTAACGCGAGTTAATCTCTCGAAAAAAAACACACATACACTGCGGAAAGGTCTCGCAGGTTAATGACGCGCTTCCTGTGATTGCTTTTTTTCCCGGTCATTTTCTTCTGCCGCACGCATTCGCGCACGAGCGCGAATTTTGACAAAATTCAAGTTTGTTATAACATTGCGCAATATTTTAAGTGCGCGCGGTAACGAGACCGCACGCGCATCTCGCTGTTTCAGCGAAATACGTCGCCTCTTTTCCGATATGCGCAAATAGGATTATCCGCATTTGCCGCAAAGAGGGACATAAAGGGAACGGGATATGTGAACGCACATACACAAACGATGCGGTAACCGGTTTTCATTAGCGTTTGTCATCGGAGAGAGATAAGCTGTTTTTAAGTTAGGTTACTCTCTTTTGTCAATTTTCCGAATGGCTTGGCCATTGTCGTTCATATATTTAAGCTATTTGTACCAGTTGGAGTCTTTCGCGTATCGCGTCCGCACAATAAATTCGTTGAATCCCCGTTGAGAGGAAGATATTCATTTCCGCACGATTGAGTTTTATATCATCGTGTGTCGTAAGGATTTTATTATTAATCGATGAAACTTACATGTATCACATCGTCCTCTTTAGCGCTAATAAAGTGCCGGAGAAAACTCGGCGCGACATTCCCATTTGTCCGGAACCCTTTCCCTTCAAGAGAAATCGCCCCAGACCTGATATCTCGCGCGAACTGCTTAACTCGGCGTAACTCGACTCTGCGAGAAACTGCGAACTTCGTTCGCGGAACTCGGTATTGAATTATAAAACTGAGCGCCTCTTGTGCTCAAAATTGCACGATGTTTCTTGCCACATGTGACGCATCAGATTTGCATTTAATCATCCTCTTATATCTTTAAAGTTTGAAACTGAAGTTAAGCACTTAACGTCTTTGACCTATCTCGATTTGTGTGTGTGTGTGTGTGTGTTTGTGTGTTAGAAACAATATACACACAGGTGATTGTATTCGGGACATCGCGGATTATATTTCGCGGCTGTGTGTGCAAATCGGTTCGCTATTTAATCTTTTGCGGACAGACATGGATCTACCAGACCCGCTCAAAAATTGCGCATCGATAGTTTTAGTAAAAATTATTTTTTTTTTTAACGATTATGTCTTCGAAACTACTAGAGAGTTTTTCAATTTGATCGATATTTTTTTATCGACGCAGAATCGTTCAAATTTTCAATTTAAAAAAACGCAAACTTGAAAAAATAATTGATCGATTGATTTAAAAATTGATTTTTCGCGGAGATATTCGATTTCGCGCGGATTTCACAGACCCGGTCTGTCTGACTCGTAGATCATTTTTGAGGTTTGTTCACGCAGGGTTAATAATATTCTGTAACGCCGTTTAAACAATCGGAACGTCATAATGCGTGCAATCAAACGTCTCTTGGCTTAACAGAAAATCGATATGTTATCGACCACTTATATCGTGTTGCCTCAGGTTACATACGAGTTAATTAAATAGGTTTACGCACGTATGCGTATTGCTGATAGTATAGTCAGGTGCGGCAACATTTGCCGCGTGTATTTAGCAACGCTACATCGATGAAGATATCAAAATCTTAAACGCGATTCGGAACATTACGCACGTATACGTTACGGGAGATAACTCGGTGTTGAGCCGATCACGTTCGAATCTCGTCGCTTTATCGGTGATTCGGAAGGAATGCGTTCGCTCTGGACGCTCATGCGCTTTGAACGTCGATCTATCTTTAGTCCACATTTAAAAAGCAATATAACGACGCTTAAACCGTCCAAAACGAGCGCGCTCGGAGTCTCACTAGAAAAGTGTGTCGAAGAGCTATAGAAGAGGCTAAAAGCATGCTGAACATACCTGTGCAGAGACAAATCTGAGATTACATGTTCTTAAGCTCTCGACACACGAATTAAATGAAATTCGAAAATGCTATTTATTTTTCAACTTAACATTTATGTGTGCAAGTTCAACAAAGAATTATAATATTTATACATTGCCAAATATATAATATACATACAAGAAAATATAACGCAATAACCAAAATTAATTAAAGAATAAGAGTGTGCGGCTACCCGAGCCTCGGGTCGCGTCGGACAGAATCTCGAAAGTTCGTCCAACACATAAATTTGTTCTGGCATCTGTATTTTCAGGATGAAATTCTTGGTTCGAGACCCGATATTCGATTCGGTCTTAAACTTTTAAGATTAGTTTTCTTTATTAAAAAAAAAACTAATCAAATAACAAATTAAACAACAATTCAACAGTTCTGTCCCAGCGAGGTAACAGTAACGTAACATTAATGTTATAATTTCACAAAGTAACAGTAACGTAACATTAATGTTATAATTTCCCACTCAACGATATGTGACTGCAATGTAACATGCCTTGTAGCAGTTATATTGTTGAGTGGGAAATTATAACATTAATGTTACGTAACTGTTACTTTGTGTTTGCTGGGGTATAATAATAATAGGACGGCTAACACGTGACGGCTACGAGACCGTATCTTTGTATGTCAAGGCGTCAAAGAGAACAAATATTGCAACCCTAGACTGAATCTATAAGATTTGATCAAATCAGGTTACGCATCGGACAACCAAACCTATCTTGATCGGTGTGTCCAGTAATTCCGTCTTAACCTCAATATTTTAATTGCGATCAATCACTTGCGATTCCGTTAAATTAAATGCACCGTGCGCAACTTTTTTCTATGGATTTCCAATACGGCATTAAGTCTTCTAACATAGTCCGCTATTTTTCTGCGTGATATTTCAATATTGGAAAAGCTCTTTTTCTCACTCGTTTTTTTTTTTTTTTCAGAAATACAACGGACCGAAAATCCGCATAAAAAAGTTCTTTGCAGGATTTATTTCCCGAGATAAATTGACTAATATTTGCTCGCGAAATTTACGGCTTCTCGACGGTCTGTTTGCGTCGCGACAGTAACTCCGCGTTTGCTTTTCTGTGTTTCTCTCATCTGGTTTGTAAGTATATAAGTTGCACAAACTTTTTCTCCCACACACAACGCGTGCGATGCTTTTAGCTTCGTGAAAATTGTTAGTGTGAATAAGTGCAGCCGCGCGCGAGAACGAAATTAAGAAGCTAATCAAATATACGAGAGCAAAAGTGAATTTTCAACGCGCAAAATCCGCTTACTCGGAGGCAACTCGTTGTCGGCCGATCTTAAATTCACATTTATTAAGACCCGAACGAGTGCGCGCGGCGCGCGACAAATCGCTTATTCAGTTTCTTTTTTTTTTTTTTTTTGTTTTGCGGCGCGTCACGTTATAGCGTCTCGCGACGGC